TCATGGTCAGGTTTATGTAAAAAGGTCAACTGCATTTATAATAAACCAGTGACAACAAAAATCATAATTTTAAATATATTCCTTTTATAACAACAAAATTATAAGGTACCTAGTAATAAATCTATGAAAGGATATACGATGTCTGGAGAAAATTACATATTTCTGGAAGACAGAAGATTAAAATCTTACAGAGGAAGATCTGTTTTATAAATATGTTGATTTTTCTGCAAATCTATAGGTTTAACACACTTTCAATGAAAATTACAGCAGAATTTTTTAAATATACATAACATAAAATCTGCCATTTTAACCATCTTTAAAATGGCATTAAGTACATTCACATTATCTCACAACCACCACCACCATCAATCTCCAGAACTTTTTCATCATTCTAAATGGAAATTCTGTACCCACTAAACAAATTCGCCATTCCCTCCTCCTCCCAGCCCTGGTGACCGCTATTCCACTTCCTGTCTCCATGAATCTGACTCCCCTGAATACCTCATCTCAGTGCCATCATAGAATATTTTCCTTTTGTGTCTGCAGGTTTTTTTTAAGAACTTAACAAACTCTAAAACTTATGAAAGTGAAAAATACCCAGAATAATCAACACAATTCTGAATTATATTTTAGATGTAATATTATGTATAATATGTATTACATAACAATATTATGTTATTACAAATCTGGCAAAATGGCAATAGTATATCATCGGATTAGGATATAAAAACAGATTAGGATAAAAAGAGCCCCCAAATGGACCCCTACATATACAGAAATTTAATAAATGCACATCACTAGGAAAGTAGAGTCAATGTAAATGGTGCTGGAACAGCTGACAATCCTTAAAGGAGGGATAAAAATAAAATTAGATCCCTTCCTCAAACTACAGACAAAAAATTCCAATGGATTCAAGAATTAAATATGAAAGGTAAAACTCTCAAACTTTAATATATATTTTTTGATTTCAAAATAGACAACATGCAAAAAGCATGGAATACAAAAGATTGATAAATTTAATTGTAACTTAAGAATTTATGTTAATCAAAAGACACCATAAAGAAAATATAACACAAGCTACAAACTTGGAGAAAGTAGCTGTAACATCTATAATGACAAAGGCTAAAGAACCCCTAAAAACCAATAAAACCAAAAAAAAAAAACTTGGCAAAACACATGAACAGGTATTTCACATAAAAGAAATATAAGTGGCAAATAGATATGTGAAAGCATGCTCAACCTTAATGGCAAAAGAAAAATGCAATTTAAAGTCACAGTGAGAGACCATTTTTTAGTATAATTCATTTCATCCCAAAAGACATGAAATGCCCCACATAATTGTTTATTTGTTCCCTGTATTTTAATTAGGATTGTAAAATTATATTTTCTAATGAGTAGTATCCTTGGATACTAATGAGTTCAATACATTTAGGTTATAGAGACTGACAATCTGCCTCCAAATAAAAATAATTTTCAAAATCCACAAAAGAAAACAAAACACAATAAACTCCTCAAAAGTGGGATAAAGGATACAATACATTTATGGGTATATAACAATGAAGTAGAAAACAAGGTGCCACAGAGGGTCAACAAAGGGAAAAGTTGGAAGTTTGGGAAAAAAAGAAAAATAGACAAACATCTAGTGAGATTAAACAATAATAAAGAAGAGAGATACCATCAGAAAAATTTTAGGAATGACAAATAGGACAATGACAGATATAGCAAAGATAAAAAGAAAACTATAGAATAGTCCAAAAAACCTTATACTGATAAATTAAAACCCAAATGGATAAATTCCTAGAAAAATACCATTTACTAAACTGACATAAGAAGAGAAAGCCTAAATGGTCTTAAAACAACTCAACTAACTGAATTAGTAGTTGAAATATTCCCTCTGGGCCCAGATAGTTTCCAAATAAATTATCATTCTTCCACAGAATAAAGAAACTACTCACAAAATAACTTTATGAGACCAGTAAAACTTGATATAAATCTCAATCAGGAAACTACAAGAAAGGAAAACCATTAAGCCAGTAAGTAAACAAAAACCCTAAAAAAAATACTAGCAAGCCAAAATCCAGGAAAATGCTAAAATGATAATATAAGATAACCAAATTGAATGTTTCTCGGGTATGCAAGATTAGTACCAAATTAAAAGTTTTACAAGGGTTATTTGTCAAATTAACAAACTAAAGAAGAAATATTATAGGATCATGTCAATAGATGCAAAATACCCTTTGCAATAAAATCAGTAAAATTCATCATCTAGTAATGGAAAAAATATGTTAAAATAACAATAAATGGAGCATCTTTGGGAAGAAAAGTGCATCTATCAAAAACTTTAGCAAACATTCTCGATAGTGAAATGTTAAACTAACTCTTTTAAAAATCATGAATAAGGCCAAAGAACACCTACATAAAAAAAAAAATAAAAGGAATAACAACAGGAAAGGAAGAAATTTTTTTTAAATCATTAATTACAGATTGTCTATGGAAATAAACCCCAAAGGATCTATACACACATTTAGAAATTTTTTTCATGGTCAGGTTTATGTAAAAAGGTCAACTGCATTTATAATAAACCAGTGACAACAAAAATCATAATTTTAAATATATTCCTTTTATAACAACAAAATTATAAGGTACCTAGTAATAAATCTATGAAAGGATATACGATGTCTGGAGAAAATTACATATTTCTGGAAGACAGAAGATTAAAATCTTACAGAGGAAGATCTGTTTTATAAATATGTTGATTTTTCTGCAAATCTATAGGTTTAACACACTTTCAATGAAAATTACAGCAGAATTTTTTAAATATACATAACATAAAATCTGCCATTTTAACCATCTTTAAAATGGCATTAAGTACATTCACATTATCTCACAACCACCACCACCATCAATCTCCAGAACTTTTTCATCATTCTAAATGGAAATTCTGTACCCACTAAACAAATTCGCCATTCCCTCCTCCTCCCAGCCCTGGTGACCGCTATTCCACTTCCTGTCTCCATGAATCTGACTCCCCTGAATACCTCATCTCAGTGCCATCATAGAATATTTTCCTTTTGTGTCTGCAGGTTTTTTTTAAGAACTTAACAAACTCTAAAACTTATGAAAGTGAAAAATACCCAGAATAATCAACACAATTCTGAATTATATTTTAGATGTAATATTATGTATAATATGTATTACATAACAATATTATGTTATTACAAATCTGGCAAAATGGCAATAGTATATCATCGGATTAGGATATAAAAACAGATTAGGATAAAAAGAGCCCCCAAATGGACCCCTACATATACAGAAATTTAATAAATGCACATCACTAGGAAAGTAGAGTCAATGTAAATGGTGCTGGAACAGCTGACAATCCTTAAAGGAGGGATAAAAATAAAATTAGATCCCTTCCTCAAACTACAGACAAAAAATTCCAATGGATTCAAGAATTAAATATGAAAGGTAAAACTCTCAAACTTTAATATATATTTTTTGATTTCAAAATAGACAACATGCAAAAAGCATGGAATACAAAAGATTGATAAATTTAATTGTAACTTAAGAATTTATGTTAATCAAAAGACACCATAAAGAAAATATAACACAAGCTACAAACTTGGAGAAAGTAGCTGTAACATCTATAATGACAAAGGCTAAAGAACCCCTAAAAACCAATAAAACCAAAAAAAAAAAACTTGGCAAAACACATGAACAGGTATTTCACATAAAAGAAATATAAGTGGCAAATAGATATGTGAAAGCATGCTCAACCTTAATGGCAAAAGAAAAATGCAATTTAAAGTCACAGTGAGAGACCATTTTTTAGTATACTGAAAAAAATTAAGTGTGGTACATAAAAATTAATACCAAGTACTAGTGAAGATATGGTTCCACAGGACACATACTGCTCATTGTAATTCGTACAGTCACTTGGAAAAAATAACTTGGCACTAAGTAGTAAAGTGGGACATTGATGTACCCCACAACACAGCAATTTCACTTCCAGGTAATATATACATAACATTGAGGAGTGCTTTTCAAACAACAGATTGCAAATCACTGGGGGGTCACGAAATCTGGCTTGAAGGCCAGAGATAAGTATTTTAAAAAATTAAATTAAAAAATATCAGAGAGTATGATAAGTAATAGGATAAATAAACACTGTTTCATGAAATGTTTGCTTCGGTTGTGTCTGTTGGTGGGAGGGCTCTATGGACTTGTGTCAGTAGTGATGTAAAAGCCACTTCTTACTCTGAATCATGGCAACTAAATTTGAAAACCCTGTAGAAACTCTTGCACACATTCTCCAGAAGACATGTACAAGATTTTTCACAAGACTTTGCATAAAATATCAAAAACATAACCCAAACATCCACTGATACTGGAGATTAGAATGGATAAATAAATTCTGGTATATACACATGATGAAATATTATGAGCAAAGATACACATAACAGCTCTGATGAATCTCAGAAACAAAACACTGAGTGAAAACAGGAAGCCACAGAATACCATGTACATTATGCCTTCTTTATCAAGCTTAAAGACAATATTAAAAAATAATAAAACAACCAAAAGCATGGATCCGGAAGCCAGACTATCTGGGTTCAAATTCTATCTCTGTCACTCACTAACATGTCACCTCAGGCAAAACACAACCTCCATGCCTCAGTTTCCTCATTTGTGAAATGGAAAGAATAACCTACCTTATAAAGTTTTTCGGATTAAAACCTGTAAAGTGCTTAGAACAGTGAACACGCCATAAAGAAGGAACACAAGTAGAAAAAAAAGAAGTAAAAACATTCTGTTTCTTTAGTTGGGGAATGGGTGCATGACCATTGACATTTCCTTATATTTATGTATTTTTTGTATAGATCAAATATTTAAAATTTATACAAGAGTGAGTTGTGCCATGACAAGGCTCTATGCATTCAGACTCAATAATCAGATACTGAGGGTCAAAGACGGTGGCAGCCCAAGCAGTCCCATCCCTGGTTCTCAGCTTGTCACATGCAGACTCAGCCCAGTTTTGGAGGAGACTCAAGAGTGGTCTGTGTTCATACTGCCTGCTGTACTGAGCCAGCAGTTCCCGCACAGCAACCTGTGCACAGAGTTCATCATTTGCTAGTCATGGTCAAAGATGTAAAATATACCAATGTCTTTAAACGCTGCAGCCAGATAAGGTTTAGCTGCTTCTGGAACACTCCTTGGAAGGACAAATATAAGACCCCACCTCTCCACAGACCTCCATTTCCCATGACAAATGTGTGACGCCTACTCTACCACTCTGAATCCCTCCCCCATGGCCAACTTGACTAACTAGCTAACTAGTCACTGCTCTCTCCCCACCTTGGGACATCAGCCTCTAATGCCAGTCCCAGGACCAACTATTTTAGCTGACACTTAAGATAAAACTAATTTGCTCTCCTTGGACCAGATAGATGGCTGGTCTGTTTTCTTCTTGCCCGTGATATTCTGTGGTTGACCAGGTCTTTAAAATGTACACATAAAACAATCTCCGTTAGTCTCCTGTCCTCGGTAGCTTTAAAGTGATAATTGGGCCTAAAATGTTACATGACATTCCAGGTTTGTTAAAAGTAGATGTCCATGACTAGCCTGCTGCAGAAAGAGGCCCAGCTGACAGTTAGCAGCAACTAAACTAGGCAGTCAGACCAGCTTGGACCAACCTGCCCATGACGCCTCTAGCAGACTGCCATGCACGTGCCTGGAAAGGCCAGGAGAATTGCACCATGTGAGCCCAGTCCAAACTGCCAACCCACAGGACCCAGCGCTGTGTTGTTTTAGGGGACTAAATGTTGGGGTGGTTTGTCACACAGCAATAAATAGCTGATTTGATCTTATACAAAACCAGCTTTAGAATGTTTCCTTCTTTGTTTCATATACATTTATATTTTCACAGCGATTATATAAAATGTTAAATATGCTTTCAATCAATAGTATATTATGTGATATTTTTGGTTCACATTGCTGTTTTAGATTCTCTTTACTGTTTAATGGCTGTATAATATTTTTTATTTGGAAAAAATCATAGCTAATTAAACATTTCAACTCAGATATTTAGGCTGTTGCCAATTTCATACTGTCATTAATATAGCCTTGATTACATTATATTCTGACAAACAACATTGCCCTTTTCTCTGGTTATTCCCTAAGAATAAATCCCATGAGCTCAACTGATGTAAAGGTTCTTTTAGAGGTTCTCCTCTGCCTATAAGAGGAGTGCTAGAAACTTGTCAAGACATATTTGCCTGGGAGAGCTTTACTGGCAGTGGTGGGCAGAGTTGAGTGTACAGTGCATGGGACAGTCTCAGCCAACAGAGGATTGTGCCATAGCCAGTGTCCTGTTGAATAACATGTGGTCAAATATATGCAGCCAATTGACAACCCAGAGCCTAACTCAGTTAGACCATAGCTTTCAGGTTCTCTCTGTCCCATGCATATGGAAGGCCTAAACCCCCCTGCCCCCTTGAAGGTAGAGGTGGCCACAGAACCTGCTTTAGGCCAGTGACATGCAAACGAGTATGATGTTTCCAGTTGTGACTGGTCCATAATCCTGGGCTTCAGTCTGCAGTGGAGGCTCACATATAGATGCACGCATTGTTATGTCATATTATGTTGAGATAGATGGCTGGTCTGTTTTCTTCTTGCCCGTGATATTCTGTGGTTGACCAGGTCTTTAAAATGTACACATAAAACAATCTCCGTTAGTCTCCTGTCCTCGGTAGCTTTAAAGTGATAATTGGGCCTAAAATGTTACATGACATTCCAGGTTTGTTAAAAGTAGATGTCCATGACTAGCCTGCTGCAGAAAGAGGCCCAGCTGACAGTTAGCAGCAACTAAACTAGGCAGTCAGACCAGCTTGGACCAACCTGCCCATGACGCCTCTAGCAGACTGCCATGCACGTGCCTGGAAAGGCCAGGAGAATTGCACCATGTGAGCCCAGTCCAAACTGCCAACCCACAGGACCCAGCGCTGTGTTGTTTTAGGGGACTAAATGTTGGGGTGGTTTGTCACACAGCAATAAATAGCTGATTTGATCTTATACAAAACCAGCTTTAGAATGTTTCCTTCTTTGTTTCATATACATTTATATTTTCACAGCGATTATATAAAATGTTAAATATGCTTTCAATCAATAGTATATTATGTGATATTTTTGGTTCACATTGCTGTTTTAGATTCTCTTTACTGTTTAATGGCTGTATAATATTTTTTATTTGGAAAAAATCATAGCTAATTAAACATTTCAACTCAGATATTTAGGCTGTTGCCAATTTCATACTGTCATTAATATAGCCTTGATTACATTATATTCTGACAAACAACATTGCCCTTTTCTCTGGTTATTCCCTAAGAATAAATCCCATGAGCTCAACTGATGTAAAGGTTCTTTTAGAGGTTCTCCTCTGCCTATAAGAGGAGTGCTAGAAACTTGTCAAGACATATTTGCCTGGGAGAGCTTTACTGGCAGTGGTGGGCAGAGTTGAGTGTACAGTGCATGGGACAGTCTCAGCCAACAGAGGATTGTGCCATAGCCAGTGTCCTGTTGAATAACATGTGGTCAAATATATGCAGCCAATTGACAACCCAGAGCCTAACTCAGTTAGACCATAGCTTTCAGGTTCTCTCTGTCCCATGCATATGGAAGGCCTAAACCCCCCTGCCCCCTTGAAGGTAGAGGTGGCCACAGAACCTGCTTTAGGCCAGTGACATGCAAACGAGTATGATGTTTCCAGTTGTGACTGGTCCATAATCCTGGGCTTCAGTCTGCAGTGGAGGCTCACATATAGATGCACGCATTGTTATGTCATATTATGTTGTTACATTCATTGTAAATTACTTTCCTTTTGTTGCATTGAAGTATTGTCTTAAATTCTTGAAATTATGTCTCCAGATAAGTTGCATTATCCATGATTTCATTTCAGGATAGTAAAGGTGGTATTAAAATACATTTTGTATAAGAAAGAGATCATTAGGTCCACTAAGTTTAAGAATCACAGTATGATGGGTCAAAGGGCATGAACACTTTCATGGCTGCTATCACACAAAATAAGTGTGAAAATCAAAACATTTCCAGCTATGCAAAAAATGGAATTAAAAATTCAAATTACCTTAAACTACAATTAAAATTTAAGTTATGCTGCAGTCAAGTTCAGTTTCACAGACACATCACTAGGATTAACATTTACATTTTTTGATTTTGCTTGTCTATAAACTTTATATGGCTGTAACTCTGTCTACTTCTTGTTACAAGAGCAACATCATTTCAAGCATTAAAAATTGATTTTCTCATTTCCACCCTGCCATATATTTACCTTTCTTTATTTTTCTTCATAGCATTTATTGCTACCTGATGCTAGAGACCATAACTTGTTTATTGGGTTCTTGTCTTTCTAGTGCCTGGAAATAAGTACCAGCATGTCAGAGTTCGTTCATCCTTGTGCCATCAAACAACACATGCACAGAGTTGGACTTGAGGAATCTTACTTGAATGAGTGAATGAATAAAGAAGGCCCCTTCCTGTTTTCAATATCTCATCCAATTTGTTCAATCCCTTAATAATTTTCTTTAACTTTTCTCATTACGTTCACTTTCCCAATTTTAATCCAACCCAGAATTAAAATTCAAATGGCATAATAATCCAGTCCAGGGGCTAAACTTAAGAGAAAGGCGAGATAGAGTGGGTCCCGGCTAATACCACAAAAGCAGACTATTCATTTTGGATCTCTACTCCTTTTTCTCTCCATTTTGTTCTTTGCTTTTGGCATCTTCACTCCTTTTCTAGGTCACGAGACAAGAAAACAAGATTTTAAAATGAGTTTTTTTCTGCTGTTGATGCCCCCTTGGTGAAGATGAAATGATTGAAGCTATCAGCTACCATGGGATTTAGGCATTACAGTTTCTGAATCCAATACTTTGATAAATGATCAGAAAGAGGTAAAGACAGATCAGTCACCACCCCGACTGGGCATGCAACAAAGACATGCTTTTTCCACCTCACAGACATGCTCCTAAACACAATATAATATGCTATGTTTTATACACACACATACACATATTTACATATACATAACATACATATACATACACACACACAAACACACATATGTATACACACATATACATTTTACAACTTCCTATTTTAGAATAATTATAGACCCTGTGAAAAGGGTAACAAGACATCTCCCTGACATGGCATCAGCAGGCCTGCAGGGAGAGCACTCCCTGCCCACCACTCCTGGTCACTGCAAACTCCACAGCAAGGAAGACACAGACACCTTACAACTCATACCATTTTGGCTACTGTACCAGCCAGTAGGAGGAAAGAAGAGTTTCTGCCCCACCAGCAACAGCCCAGCCAATGAGAGACTGTTACAGCTCAGCCAATGAGAACCCATGACACATGTGACTCCCAGGTTCCTCCAATGAACTTTTTGCTTAGAACAGTCCCCAACTGCCCTTCCTCTATAAAAGAGCCTCCTCCCGTTTGTTCTCTGGACTTGCATGGGAAAACTAAGTCAAAGCTTGGTTGTCCCAAGTTGTAACTCTCTGCTTTTCCCTAATAAACCCACTTTGCTGGTAGCGTTTTATTTTGAAGGTAACAACCCACAGAAAGTTGAAAAATTAAAATAGTACAGAGGGATTTTGTCTAGTCCTCATATTCCCCCAAAAGTGATAGCAACAGTGATTATAAAAACCATGAGATTCAATTAAAGTTTTACACACTGAATGTTTTACTTGTGGTGGAGATTTCATTATTTAAAAACGAGCCCATTAGTAGGCCATTTTGTAAAGTGAGATACTATTTTTTGCAATGCAGAAAATTACATCCCTTTCTAAGTCTGGTGTTTTGAATAGTTACACCAGATTTTCTTAAGATAATTTGTGATGTTATGATGTTATTTCTTTCTAGGTAACTGTCTCTGTGGTGGTGGTATTTTTGTGCCTATTTGCACAGTAACCTGGTTCTAAATATGAATACTGTTTATTTTCTTCTATATACTTGATTAATTCCCAGTGATTGAGTCTCAGTGCACCTGCCTAGGAGTCCCTTTCTTGAGAGAACACTAGGTGACTG